TCCCCATCAAGACAGTTGTACTAAATTCGTGATAACTTTTGATTGCTTTCACGTGTTTGCAATCCGACATCTCGTCTGATCAAAGACCATCCGAACTGAACCGCTCTGAGTGGTGTCTGGTTAATGCCATCAAGCACCTAGTGTTGAGCTCAGCAAGCGAATACTATTGGTCAACGAATCAGGCGGGAACACACGCACGCATGTATATACACACACACACACACGCACCGTTTCAGCATGTGCAGTGTACATTGGCCGTAGGACCAAACATGTCACTTTTTCTTCAACCTTTATTTAATTGCGCATAAAACTTTGCCCTTTTTACAAAACAAATTATAGTCATTTGGGATAAAAATGTATTTGTGTAAAAATGTGAATCTCTACATTGTTATTATGCTACTGCTATCTGGTATTCGACTCTCCGAACAAGGTATGTTTCATATGTCAGTGCATATCAACTGCATAGGATGAGATGACTACAATGGGTTGACATTACATTTGTTTATCTATGATATGAGTTCGCACGGGACAATAGACTAGTTCGCGTCGAACCGTTATCATCAAGATCACCTGCACGATATCGACCCAAGTCAGTGTGAACGAGTGAATCGTTTGCATTGGGATCTGTTGTTCGATTTGCACCTCAAAATGTTATCAATTTGTATCAGATTTTTGGTGTATTACAGTTAGACTGCTCCTTATGCTCGAGAAACAGGCATATATGCGTACGAATCCATTCAGGCCGATGGCATTTGATAACAGTTCATCCGTAGACTATCTCATATACGAAAAAATACAGATTGTTAATCGTCTGACAGGATTATACTTCTTCTTTCCTCAGCTTACTTGATCACGGTGGAGGGAGAATATTTTCACTGGAAAATTCCCCTCGATTATGANATTATGACCTGGAATTGGGTGACAAACACAGTGATCAATTCAACGAATTACAAACTAGCGCTTGTTCCTCGGTGGGTTGGGTTATGTTTTTTTTTGTTTTCTTTTAACATAATGAATTCAGATCGATAATTGTCGCGTTGAAATTTTGGTTATTCTGAATGCCACTTTTTTTATAAACTTCGCAATTGTTTTCACGTGGCTCGTGAAAATAGGCTTCTGAAACGGAAAACGATTCTAACAGATTTTCTGATTCGTATGCGTCGATAACCATTAGGCTTAATAATTATTCCAAGGAAAGTGTCTAACTGTCCTTTTGTGAACTGTCGCTGGTGATTACGATTCAGTAAACTATATCGCATTTCAAAAGCGAAATTCATCGTGTATATAGCAAAAGAAGCTTGAACTGAAAAGCTAGGAAGCACTGGATAGCTGTTTCGATTTGGTTGAGTCAGCAGTGCGCGAACCCATCTACCCAACTGTGACCCGAACCCGGGATCTCACAGGAAGAACGCAAGCATGCTACCAACTTAGCTGATCAGACTGTCTTTCCTCTTTTTCCATTTGCACGATATAGCACAACCCATCTTTGCGAGCTTGTTGCGGGCCACAAACCTCGCCCATATCAGCAATAGTCTTCGGGGTTACGACTTGGTTGGAAACATTCACAAACTACTACTTGCTTCATGTGAGTACTGGAGGATCTGATTCTTTTAAATGGAGAATGAAAAACTGTCTGATCAGCTGCTCGGTGACCGAATGGGTGGCATGCTTGCCTTCTAGCTGTAATGTCCCGGGTTCGAGCCACAGTTGGGTCGATGGATTCGACAGCACTGCTGATGAAACCCAACCAGGTAGAAACAGCTGTCGAGTGCTTCCTAGCTTTTCACTTCGCGCTTAATTTGCTGTATACAAAATGAACTTCTCCTTTGAAATTTAATCAAATCCTCGAATAATGAGATACATCATATTTGTTCAATGTTTTGCGCACTCGACCAATGGGAGTACGCAACAGGAATTCGTGTCATGGCTTTTGTATTCTGACTTACATATTCAATTGCATTACGCGATCTAAACACATTTCTTCATATTTCGTATCAGAAGATTCCTGGGGACTGAATTCAGAAAACCATAGAAACCTACCCTCATACGTCTGGCAACGAGGTGTGAAGATGTTTGGAGAAATTATATATATATACACACACATATACGTATGTATATATAAAAAAGAGGAGGGAGAGGTAGTTGATGACTTTTTATCAGTAATGCCCGCCTGATCGAGTTCACTCTAGATGGTCGAGCGATCTATTAGGATTGATTGTTACATGCCTTCAAATCAAATCATATTTGGAGACAATAAAACCCTTCCCACATTGAGGCTCGAATGCCGTAAACACCATTTGATCAGTACACAGTCATCCGGATGACTAAGTGACACTAGCCGAATAACTCGCTCACCAGGCAATGATCGCACGGTCGTCAACCGGTTTTATCTTTCAAATCAGTTCGCATGTCGAGGACCATCCGAGCTGTCTTCCTTCCCCAGACAGTCAATTATTGATTGCTTGTTATTTGGTAAACGGTAAAAACAGAGGTGACCATTCTTTTATCACAATCATCAATAACTGTTCTGCAACACATTGTCCAAATAGTAAAAAAATCGATAATGATTGTTTTGTCTGAGTTGACCGCAGATACAGGACACCCTAAATTTTGGAGCAACTCCCTTGAACACGGATGGAACCAGTTCTCAACGCCCCAGATGTTTTATAAATTTAATTATAGATTTTCATCATTCATCTCACCGTATCCAGAATAACAGAATTCCCGTTTGACAGTCGCAATCCGTCTGCCAGGAGTGGTGTGAGAACAATATACATTGATTTGAAGTGATCATCTCAGTTTCAGACACGAGTTTCAGTTCATCCGGTGAGCAGTACACAACGAAATGGAGTTTCTCTCTAGTTACAGCCCATCTGCATATCTGCCGTTCTATTCAGAATTTGAACTACATTGCAATCATCTATGCAGTATATAATTGACAAACAGTTAAAAAGCATTCCATTAAACATAATTCATCATTTAAAAATAAATCAGTCTCCAACCACAGTGGTTCATGGCAAATCGGTAAAGGGTACAACTAATGGTGAACGTAAGCTGACAGGGAGTTTCAGTTCGTGAATTATTCTAAGAGTGATGTGAGGGCTGTTGACATTAGCTTGATGCAGTGCACCGTGCAATACTCGTGGACGACCTCCATTGATCTAGGCATTCGAATTCAAGTCAAATCAAGGAATCGCTTTATACACCCTGGGGGCGAATATTCAGCAACCACATAACCGCAGTGTCAACAATTTATAAGAAAAATCGAAACATAATTAATTTAAATAAGTGAAACGGACAGCAATATAAAAAAAACCATTGGTATACCGGGTGTTTATCACTGTTTTAATATACATTTCTCGCAGATTTTCTGCAACGAGTTCATGGTTTATAAGAAATCTGGCGAGCTAAGTTGCAATAGGGTGCCTATAAACCTCCCTGCGTGCCTTTAGAAGTTCATGACTGGAATAGGTGGATGACTAAGAGCAGGATGAAAGGGATCGGAGATATCACATGAAATTTTCTTTGATAATGTTTTACAGGACGTGAGGTGGTTTGCCACCACGTCGTACCAGATGTTCAAGTGGTATAAGAGTACATACCGACAGAAACTTGAGGGATCGGGAAATGAGTTTGAGGTCCATGGTGAAAATATCGGGGAAGATAACAGGGGACCATTAAGCCAGTGGGGCAAAACGCAACCAAAAACAAAACGCCTTATGAAATTACTTGAGATAGAAGGTGATTTAGGACGTGAAATTTAAAATGTGAGCCTCCTGATCCTCAGAAAAAACGTCATTGACATGGCCAGACCAGGTGAGGTTAAGGTTGTACAGGTTTGCTTTCCCAATGAATTCGGTGATTACGCAGTGTTGATTATTTCTACACCTTTTCCCATTAGCCTCAACGCGTAATCCGGTAGCCAAAACTCGAAATGTTTTAGCCACGGCCCGTAGTCCTTTAGTCTCGACGCACACACTTTAAGCATGCCGAAGTAGGCGAGTCAGAGCAAAAGTTACGGAATATTCTGAAGTCAACGCCTGTTTAAAACACTTTTCTCTACAAATGTTGACGTTGCAAACGCTATTAACAAAAGACCTCCTTTAGCACACCGTTGCCCAACAAACTATGGACAAAACTCATATTTCTTGAGCCTTAACCGTGGTAATTATGTCAAATGTTGCAGCGTTGATAAGCTGATGGTAGTTATGGGGTGTACTTTTGTGAACTGTGTTTATTATCTTCAACATGTTTACGTATCCTTTTCTCATGAACCGAGTTCACTTTTGAAAGAAAAATCATGCACCGTTTGTGTTACGGGAGTATCACATGTTATACAGAAACACTGAAGCTGTAAGAGATGTGCTAAACGGTTTGGCGATATGGGCACATCGGTTAAACCTTCCCCAGTCAACCTATGGTGCAGCATGCGACTGCCACACCATCCTGTTTCTTAACTAAGCTTTGCAACGTCAACATTTGTAGAGAAAAGTGTTTTAAACAGGCGTTGACTTCAGAATATTCCGTAACTTTTGCTCTGACTCGCCTACTTCGGCATGCTTAAAGTGTGTTCGTCGAGACTAAAAGACTACGGATCGTGGCTAAAGCTTGGTGGGAAAAGGTGCAGTAAGAGCTAAAACTGCTCCGTGTTGTCAAGGATTTTACTTTTTGAGTTCTAGGTTGAACCATCATGACCTCCCCTCAATGCAGATATCACTCGTTAATCTTGTAGAAGGCTATGCTAGATATCGCCATGCAGACACCACACTGATCGTATCACCTTTTCTTCTCCATGGTTTGACTTTTACAAGAGATTCACAATGTGTTGCATAACGAATATTTTCTGTTTATCAATTCAGACTATCACATTGCGATGATGATGACTTTAAAACCATATCGAATCGCTTAGCAACTATCGAACGGATATTCAAATTCGGCATTTGACCCCACTTGTTCCATCGATTTATGGAAAAATAAATCTTTGCTGTGCAACGTTTCAGATGATCAACCTTCTATATCTCCAATACAATGGCTCAGATGAAGATATTTCCGAATGCCAAATCGATGCACAACCCTTGAATGAGGGCGATTCCTCGGCAGCGTCTGGCACAATAATTACAATGCGCCTCACTATTACGAAGCCGTTTGGTCAAAGAATGCAACTGGATTCTCCAGATGCATCGCAAAACATAGCGGACGTGTACAGAGATTTGAAAGAACGCCATGATCAAGTGTATCAATTCGGAGATGCCGTATTTCGAGGTGAGTGCTTATGAGAATCAGCATAATTTTTCTCGATGTTTACGACTCCTTATTAATCAGCCTTTAAAAGCTTCCTCTTTCAAATATATCTAAAGTTTCCATCGTTTTTCTTTCAACTCACTAATGTCATTATCAAATTTCACGCACTTTAGTAAGTCCCTGATTGAGAGCACCATCGTAAAATTTGGAATCGAAACGGCTGCGGTGTCACAAGTTCAGTATGCCAGTATAGGTACACAGATATGTTATGTTACAGATATGTTTTCATGTTTGATTGCTTTTGATCGATATCTTAGCTACGCTTCAATTGCTGCATAAGATAAAAGAATTGTGAGTCCCGTAACATTCGACACAAAAGCAGCTGCTCTTCTAGGACGGATCTGAAACAGTCCTGTTCCGGATTCGAAGACGAAGTGATGCCTGCCTCTGGTGTGGAAAAATTTGACAGGCATCTGGATATTATCCGTGCAACTTTAGGATGAGCTCAAACCACGCCGCAGCTCACTTATCGGATATCACGTGACTGTTCGGCTTCGCTATGTGGTCCATACCGGTATGGGCAATACTAATGATTATTGATCTTTTTTTCGAACATTGTCACTCTCTATCGGGCTGGCACAATTGCAGTCAACCAGTCAGTTCAGTAACTCGTTCTTCTTAAACCATGGGCGTTCATTTACAACATAAATCATGTATGAACACCTTGTTGCACAAACCGCGGGGTTGACTCATTCAAACAAAACGAAGGAAGTTTCCTAATGTGGATTGAACTTTTTGACCTGTGTCTCAACTACACCACTAGACAATCGAATCATCCAGTGGTATTCGCAGGTGTGAGTCAAACGTAATCAATAGGAGGCCACCATCAAGTTGAGCGGAAACCGCCTCGTTTGTTTGGAAACAAAAACAACGAAAAAGATGCCTGGGGTAGTTTATATTTCATCAAAGACGATCAGCTGCTGAATGATGGAATTGCTCAACCCGTTGCATTTCCTTTTTCATGCAACCTGAGAAAAATTGAATAGAAAAATAAATCTCCGGGAATACTGAGCTTTCTCCGTTTTACGACCCATTCTCCCAAAACAAGTGATGACTGTGTGTGGGACAGAATGAGTCAATTATATGATTGATATCGACATGGGGGCTCAGCTGCTCGCATTCAGACTACTCAAGCTATTTTTTACCAGCAAGAGATGCACAAACCGAAAGAAAAAATGCAAATTCCGCT